TTGTTTTTTCATTTCTTGTTTGTTTGTTTGGGTTTGAGTTTTGTTTTGTTTGCTTGTTTGTTTGTTTGTTTGTTTGTTTGTTTCGTTGCTGTTGGGTTTGTTGGGTTTTTTTGTTTAAGAGATGTTTTTTGGAGGGGGGTGGAGCATGAGTCCAATTACGCCTTACTAGACTAAGTATTTCATTTTTTAAAAGTTAGAACGCTTAGTGAAATTGTAATTGAAAAAGAGAAGGGAAAAGTCACGTCGCAGACAATAATATAAATACCTCAAGATGAACTGTGACGGAGAGCAAATAAACAGCTAACCAAGTACTTTTATGTGAATTATTGCAACATCAGTGGGATTGCACTAGATGTCACAAGAGTCTAAACTGTAAGAATTGAATCAATTGAGTTTTATGTAGTCTGTTCGTGGGTGCGTTAAGGGGAGAGTGGGTGTTTTTGTCCTACATATTTTGCTCCCCTTCGCCTCATATTTCAGTTATTTAAATGGCAGTGCAAAATCTGAACGTTTGTTTGGTTTTTTAGTTGTTGTTTTTTTTTTGGTGTTTTTTTGTTTTTTTGTAATCAAACTAGATCTAGATAGTATAAGAGGCTGGAAAACCCCTTCAATGCTTTTTTCTTGTCTTTTTTCGGTTTTGTTTTTTTTTAAGTTTTTGTTTTCATTTTATTTTTTATTTACTTGTTTGGCAAAGTCTTTAACTGCGAACATTTGTGTAAGAGGCAGGACCTTGAAAATTTAATTCCATCTACATAAGGTCATATGAGATATATGCGCATGCGGGAGTCAAGTAGTTTTTTGTGTGGGGGGGGGGTCTTCTTTTTTTCACGTTAATTCACAGCATAGCTCACAACAGTACTACAGTTAACAAAACTGTACAAAAAAGCTCGAGATGTGGCAAGTACGTAGATGCTTCAAGGAGAATAAACGACACTCTTTTCGAAAATCTGCCTAAAAAGTGTTATAACAACCAAACACCTGTCAAGAAAGTCTTTAAAATCATCAACAAAGTTAAACGTAAAATCTCTGACACCACTCAAAACGTCTAACTGTCAGATGATGGCACCACAGCAGAAACACTAATAGACATTGCATACACGTACCTGAGACACATCTCTTTCGCTAAATTCTTCCAAAGCTTACTACAGCAACACCTTTCAAAACATAATTTGTAAAAAATACTTTGAAATTTTGTTGGAGTTTTTGATTGTTGTTGTTTTGTTTGGGGGGGGGTGTAGTTTTTTTTGGTCTTTTTTTAATGTTGTTTTTGTTTGTTAGGTTCTTGT